TAAAGGAAATATTTAATTGGGGGTGGCTTATGATATCTGAGGTTTAGTCTATTATCACCATGGTGGGAGATGGCAGTGTACAGGAAGACATGGTTCTGGGGTAAGAGCTGAGAGTTCTAAATCTTGATCTACAGGCAGCAGGAGTCTGTGTCACTCTGGCAAAACTTGAACTCATAAGACCTCAAAGCCGACCTTCACAATGAAAAGTATCCCCCATCAGGGCCACACTTATGCCAACAAGGCCATACCTCCTATAATACCACTCCCTGTGGACCAAGTATTCTAACACATGAGTCTATGAGGACCATAACTACTCAAACCACTACCAGCCCCCCATCAAACTTCCACTAATTCACTCCTAGTTTTTGGATTTGGTATTCATTGACCAACCTTTTTCTTTTAATAAGGATAAAAATATGTCACACACACACACACACACACACAATGTAAAGTAACTGACTACTCCATGGTGATAAAATGTGTTGACTGGGTAGGTCCTACTGATATGAGTAGTGATCTCTTCCAACTGTGTAATGTAGGCAAGACAATAAAATGTAGTAGCCATCACATGGAGATAAAGCCTAAATGGTAAACTCAAGCCAAAAGGTTGATTCTTTCATACAGTTTTAGGCAATTGTTTAATTCTGTTCTATATTTTAGTCCATGCCCTTTCCATTTAAAAATACTAGCTCAACAATCAAACAGCACACACAGAGAAGCTTTTGGTAGAATCTCAAGCATTTGAAGATTCCCAACTTCCTTGCTTTCTCATTTCTCTGCATAATAACCATCTGAAAATGCATCTATCATTTGCAAATCACAATGCTTTGCATTTTAAATTCCCTTCCACTTTTTAAATCATGTATTAGGGCAATATTGAAAAATAGGATTAGTTTCTCAATGGACAATATTTTCCTACACAAAATCTTAGTAAGCATTATTTTCACCAAAGAATTCTGTTCTTTTCATTAAATAGTAAATCTTTGTCATCTCCCACACACCATAAAGCCATTCAGAATAACTGAAAAGTTTCAATTATCTGATTTATGGCTACAATTCCCCTTATTTTGTGAATTCATTGCTGTTGCGGGAGCAAGCTATATAGCAACTCTGCTTCGAGGCTTTAAAAAAGTAGGTTGACTTGATTGATAGATCAATACATGTTGAGTTTTCACCCGAATTTCCGTTATGAGGAGTAAGTGAAACTGTTCCTGTCAAAGGAACATCAGCTTGGCCCTATGAGGTTAAGCTTTGTGACAGTCTCTGTGAATGGACGCCTTATTGGATGACTGGGCCATCATTTAGTAATTGACCCTGACGGCAGTGAAGAATTAGTGGTAGAGGGTGTAAAGAGAAGAGCAAGCAATACAAAAATCCCAGGACACAGGGAAATCAAAGAACACATAGCGAAAGTAGTGCTGTGTTCTGCCTCGTGACCAAATCATTTTTTTTTTTAATAAAGAAAGGAGAATCAACTGCATGCATACTAACGTTGAGACAGGAGAAAAATCCCATACAAGATTTTCCCCAGATGCTTCCTATGAGCCTCAGTGTTTATCACTGTCGACACAACCATATTCTGCATTTGTAGAGAAAGCAAGTAAACACAAATTCACACTCATGCCATAGGTTGTGTTTGTAGTGCCTGGCACGGCGCCTTACACTTGTGTGAAGCACTGTAGTTTATTCATTTATTCACATGACTCAGGAACATTTATTAAGCACCTATTCTACACAGAGGGCAATGCTGTATCAATGAAGAAAGCAAAGCCTATCAAGGGGCTCACTCTGGTATTGCTAAAATGATTGCAGATTCTGCCTGCAGTGAACAAAATTGTAGATTGTGAAACACGACCAAGTGTTCATTCCCTGCAGCCAGCAGCCTGCACTGGAAAGTGTGCTCTGAACTTTCTTGACTGACTAACCTTGTGCCAGCTGCTCATTAGCCATTTTGTGCCTCAGTGTATTTCTTAGTAAAATGGTAATATGAGGTGATATGTTGATGTTTGTGAGTGAGTGTAAGGTCTTAGATCAGTCTCAGAAGTAATAATTGCATAATACAAATAGTTTATTGATGTATTATTTTGCTTGATGTGCACTATAGAAAACAACTCAGTGGTTAAACTAGTTACTTGTAAGATGTACCTCTGCCCCTATTTGATCATCTGTAAAGAAGCGGCAACAACGGCCTTCTCCACAACTGTTCTACAAGGACTGGCAGAAATGGCCCATGCAAACCTGGAACAGTCCCCGCTGAATAGGCAGTTATTGAATAGTGGCTGTCATAACTGTAACCCGATCTTACAGAGGGAGCAGCTCTGATGCGATTATACACAGGATAGCATGTTAGTGTGGGTTAGCATGACTTTCATGAAAATTTCTTCAAACAGTTAAATGGGTGTTGACTCCATGTAAATTGACGTCCATAAACTTCTTCTGCAATGGCATTCTTTGATATTTACAAATCTCTTTTTGCTAAAGTTTTTAGCTTTGTGTGTATTTCTAACTGAAATTGACCTTTTAAAATATCTTTTCAGATATATTTTTAACAAGATTATAACTTAACTAATACAATAATTAAATCACTTTTCCTTAATTTTATGTTTTCTAAAATGGTTCCTTTTTAAAAAAATACAATAACAATCTCTGTAAAGTAGGTTTCTCTGTTCCTCCTCTTCTACAGTTGCTTCTAAATCACAGAGGCTTCATATTAATTACAAATCTTTTGGCCTATAATTCAGGCTTTTTACTAACTAGCTCTTATATTTAAATGAACCCATTTCTTTTTATCTGTGTTTTGCCACATTTTTCTTTCTTGCCTAGCTGTATTCTGCTTTGCTATAGGCCAAAGTAGCTTTTATTTTCAGCCAACAAGAGCAACATATATTCACAGCATTCAAAAGAGTTATCACAGCAAATTTCAATTTAATGAATTCCTGATCTCAGTCCTTTTGTGCTCTCTAGGTCTATTGTTTAATCTCAATTGTTATTCATAAATTCCAGGCCTTGAAAAATTCTGTTTTCAATGGAATTTTTTATACCAATAAACTAAAATCATAATCATTTATTTTATCAAGTCCTTTAATTATATTAGTAAAATAACTAAATAACTATTTCTAATTTTAATCTGCATTAAGTTAATCATTACTTACCCTTTTGCTATTTAACCCAGATTTCTTCTTTTCTGTCTTGATTAATCTTTCTATTAATATTTCAGATATTGTGATATTACCAGTCCCCTCAAATTTAAGCTGTTAACATCAGTGAGTTTGCCTATACTTATTTTCTTCATTTTCTTTTTTGGTGTTTTTTTTTTGTTAACTTTTACATAAGTCTTTTGTGGGGCTTCTTGAACTGATCAAATAATCAATCCCCTGAAAACTATCAAACCCGTAATTTTCTTCTAAGTACTATTTTTCTCTCACATACCATAAACTTGGGAATAAAAATACTTGCAATATTACTTTTTTGTAAATATTGAGATTTCCTTTATAATTCCTTCCCAATTCTCTCTGTAGACTAAGATTGAACTAATAGGTCTTAGATATGTTGTATATATTCCCCTTTTTGTCAGTTCTTTTGGTTACTGACTTCAAGACTGAATCTAACTTTGAGAGAAAACTTCATTTTTTTCCAATAATTCTGTCCAGGGAATTCTCTAGAATTCAATGTCCACAATTTTTATACTTACATAATCGAGCTTTATAACTCACACAGCATTATTTTCTTTAAAAGGCTGTGAAGAAAGTGTGTGTGTGTGTGTGTGTGTGTGTGTGAATTTTCAAATGTTCACCTAAATTTAGGTAAGAGTATTCTATATTATAATACCCTATACTTGATCAAGATTTCAAGATAAGTCATACATCTGAAGTTGATGAGTGATGTGATTTTAGAGAAAAAAATCAATATGAATTTCAGAGAACAGGTAATAATTCTACTAAGAAATAATCTTGTAAATATATTACATGTGACATTCATTTTCCATATTCACAAAGAGACAAATGTAAAAGAACACCTTTGAGGACTCTTACACAAAAAAGTCAAATGACTCATTGCTTTAGGCACAAGCTCTTAAAGTTCAGTTGATTAATAATGTCTTTCTCCATGATGTATGTCTTTATTTTAAGAATTTTATTTAAGAATTTTATTAATGATATTATTTCATTCCAAAGGATAAGCTTGAAACCCTAATATCTGACCAATGAGAGTTTCTTCTAATGACAACAGTGTGCTTGTTAAATACTGCTACCTACTTGTTTCACTACAAGGTTATTGAAACAAAATTGTCAGACAATTGTGAAATGTATAAATAAAAAGAGGAAAACAGTAGTAGATTTGTTATTATTTACAAAAAGAAAATATCAAAGATTACATTTTCATCACATGGATATCTTGATATATTTATATATAAAGGGTAGAATATACTTTTACCCAGAAATAAATAATAACTTTTCAAAAACGTTAATATTCTCTTAACTTCATGCTAATGGCAAAAGTAAGTAGCTATCTCTTTTTAATTTTTACTGGCTCTTTGAGGATTTCATACAGACTCTTTTATCATATTCTTTTCCATCCTCCAACACTTTCTATATCCCCTACCCACCCAACTTCATGCTATTTCTATTTCTTAAAAAGAAAATTTTTTAAGCATAGTTGTGAACAAGCAAATATATCAATTGGAAAATATTTACAAATCTTATGGAGGAATACTTATTGATAAATATAGTTAGACTTTTACTATGGTCATCTGTTTTGTAAGTTTTTTTTAACAAACAAAATCAGAGTAGGTTTAGAGTCACTGAAGCAATGCTGAAATTGAATTCTAATTTATTCTTCCTAGGCCAGAGTTTCTTGAAAACTTCTATTTAAAACCAATTTTGTGCCTACACGAAACCTGTTTCTCACAGAGGTTACAACAGTCTTACTATTTCTCTTAAATTATATTTGGTATTTCCTTTTGTTCCTACCTTTATCCTCCCTTATCTTTCTCTTTTCCACAGAAAAAATTATGACATCAACATCCAAAGGCATTCTTCGTCCATTTCTAATCGTCTGCATCATCCTGGTCTGCTTCATGGCATGTCTGCTTATTTACATCAAGCCGACCAACAGCTGGGTCTTCAGTCCAATGGAATCTGCCAGTTCTGTCCTGAAAATGAAAAATTTCTTCTCCACAAAAACGGATTATTTTAACGAAACCACTATTCTGGTTTGGGTGTGGCCGTTTGGGCAGACATTTGACCTTACATCCTGCCAAGCGATGTTCAACATCCACGGATGCCATCTCACGACAGACCGCTCACTGTACAACAAGTCCCACGCGGTCCTGATACACCACAGAGACATCAGCTGGGATCTGACCAATTTACCTCAGCAGGCGAGGCCACCCTTTCAGAAATGGATTTGGATGAACTTAGAGTCACCCACTCATACTCCCCAGAAGAGTGGGATTGAGCACTTGTTCAACCTGACACTAACTTATCGCCGTGATTCAGATATTCAAGTGCCTTACGGCTTCTTGACGGTGAGCACAAATCCCTTTGTGTTTGAAGTGCCAAACAAAGAGAAGCTGGTGTGCTGGGTTGTGAGTAACTGGAACCCCGAGCATGCCAGGGTCAAGTATTATAATGAGCTGAGCAAGAGTATTGAAATCCACACCTATGGGCAAGCATTTGGAGAATACGTGAATGACAAAAACTTGATTCCCACTATATCTACTTGTAAATTTTATCTTTCTTTTGAAAATTCAATTCACAAAGATTACATCACAGAAAAGCTTTACAATGCATTTTTGGCGGGCTCAGTACCCGTTGTCTTGGGACCATCTAGGGAAAACTATGAGAATTACATTCCAGCTGATTCATTCATTCATGTGGAAGATTATAACTCTCCCAGTGAGCTGGCAAAATACCTAAAGGAAGTTGACAAAAACAATAAATTGTACCTTAGTTACTTTAACTGGAGGAAGGATTTCACTGTCAACCTCCCACGATTCTGGGAATCGCATGCCTGCCTGGCTTGTGATCACGTAAAAAGGCATCAAGAATATAAGTCTGTTGGTAATTTAGAGAAATGGTTTTGGAATTAAAGTTTTCATAGTTTCACATTTAGTGAAATATCTGAATGTGACACCATTCAAGTTCTGACGATAAGAAGAGAAACACTTTGTTTTTACGTCACAGTTTATTTTTTTCACGCTCCATTGAGTAACATGTATATTTTGATGGAAATTTTTAAGAGCTCAGAATTAGTGATCACTCCCTTTGGTTTTAAATTATCCTGTATATATGTGATAATGAGCACTGGAAATAATTTATTCTTCCTTCTTATTTGTAAACATTCTTTTTCACATTTTATAGTTGCCTGTAAAGTAAGGTTACGATTCAATTGTTTCTACACCAACCCGATCTATAATCTGTTTGGGAAATGGAAAAATGCATATCCTAAAATTTGAAAGATTTTTACCAAGGATTATAATGTCTAGATTCTAGCTTGCATAATGTTAACAAAGAAGGATTAGAGTATCACTTAATTCTTAATCTCTTCGACTTCAGAGTTGAACACTGTGTATAACTGATGTTGCTTTTACCTGTTTACCACATTTGTGAAGACGGACTTATTCATGTAGTAAATAAGAAAGATATGAAGCAGAAATGTTATTAGACTTTATATTCATTTTCATTAAGTTGTTTTGCAAATGCAGACTCTCAATATCTTAAAATACCCAAGAATTTGGAGACATACAATTTATGTGATATTTTTAATGCCTAATAACAGCTAGGAGAAGCTTTGATTGTCCCCTATCAAATCCTTAACATTGCCATTTTTGCAAAAATAAGCAATTTCCTCATAAAACAAGTAAAATGGTATCTGCAATACAGATAAAATACATAAATTGTGCCGTTTATATAATTTTAATTACGTTGTCCATTTGAAATAGTTTCCAAAGCATCAATATTTACAAGTTGTATTTTTTCCATATTCTGTAATAAATACATGTAAAACTTGAAAGGTTTAAAACACCTAAACAAAATTATTACAATTGGTAGATATATCATTAAATATAGTAAAGTGGGAACTTTCAAGGAACAGACAGTGCTAACACAGAATAGGATCTCAATATATTTTTATTAAATAAATTAACAGCATTGAAAAATCATGGGTAATTTTTCTTTGTTTCAATAAAGGAACAGTTCTAGTCTATGGCTATTAATTGAAAATTATCTTTTTATTATGTTTTTAAAACTATTCAAGCATAGCATATGTTATGTTATTCAGGGCTGTACAGAACCAGTATAAGCTTATTATTGCACTGAATTTGGGGGCTTGTTACCCATGAACTTTCAGCTGCCTGCAGAAATTCTCTTTTGAAAGTCTAGAGGAAGTAGACAGGAGTATGCAGACAAAGTAGATTAGGAAAAAAAAAGGCAGATACCTAAGACTTTTACAGAAAATTATTCTCCAAAGGATTCCTAATGCTTGTGCTCTACTCTGCTCAAAACCTACAGGAAATGTAATGTTCTGATGAAATCCAATTGGATCTTTCGTGACTCACTATAGGTTTCCCATTAACTGTTACAATCAACAGAATTTACTCACTCTCTGTATAGATCCCAGGGAAAGATAAATTTTAGTTCAGTTAGCTGGTAGTTGTGTGCCCCGTGAGAATGAGCTTTCCTGGCATGGGAAGGATTTGAACAAATACTCCAGAATTAAACAGAAATTGGGGTTTCATGTTCATTTTTTTCAGAAATAATTATACACAAGATAAACACAACAACATAACACAAAAATAAAGATGAAAACGTGTTGTCACTGCCTTAAAGGGGCTTGTAAAAGAGAGCTTCCTCTAAGTTCGATTGTGTGCAACTCTTAATGGAGATTGTATGAGTCATTGTTCATTTACTGAAAAAAAAAAACTACTAATGAATTTATCCAATTGTTTTGCTACTCAGCATGTGTTGGAGCTGCAAGCTCTTTCCATCATTTGATCTGACATATATTTATTTCTTCTGTCCACACATTGTTTTATGTATATGGAGGAAAAGTGCATATACATGGGTACTGTCCTAAAAGCTCTACCATATATTTATTTGTTTAAAAGCTAATTTCAGACATTTATATTTATTTGTTATCTTTTTGATCCATAAAATGTGGGTACCTAAAGATGCAATGCAATGCTAAGCTTAGAAAGCATTTTCTCTGAAAGGTGGAAAGCATCTAATGGTGTTTCCATCCATCATTGCTAAACTGGACGCTGAGAGACCTGGAGGCACCTAGCTGTCTCTTCTGTTGACAGTGAATTTGAGCTTATTCTTGGAATGAAACTACAATATAAATGCCAGAAATATAAACCAAGCCAAGGCAACAAGTATTTCATTAGTGCATCTGTACATTGTAAGCCTAATCCAAGCCATAGAAATGAGTTTTTCAATTCCAAGGGAACAGTCAATAGCCAGCTTTTTAATTAGAGAAAATCACAACAATATTCATAAGCTAAACTCTTCTTTCTATCTGAATTAGTTATATAGAGAGCATTATTTTTTCATGACATATGTTGAAAGTCATTCAAACCCCACACATAGTGATAGTAGAGATTAGAATGTAAGGATCCTATTGCTGTTAATCTCATGTTTGTCTCCACCCCTTCTACAACTTATTGTATATTTGTCCCAATTCCTGCAATGTGGATATCACATTGGCATGTAGGATGATAAGCTCTGGGACTTCACCTTTTGAATATATAGTTAACAAAACTTTAAGTGTTGGCACTTTTTCTGATTTGTTTTAGCAGCTGATCATTAGCAGGAAGAGTGAACTTTGCTATGTGTAAGTGAAAAATAACAACTGGAAAGATCTGCCACTGGCCACTCATAAAAATTCCTGTGACTCACAGTTTTTTAAGGATATCTCATGTGAAAGATAGATTGATTCAATCAACTTGGCTTGCGATTGGTTATAATAAAGACACATAATATGTCTGGGAATAGACTATGACTCTAAAAGGGCCATGAACAAGTTTTCATTCCAAGTGCAGAAAGTCTTTACAACCAGTGCTCTGAATATTTAATTTGTTAAGTATTGTAGGCTTTATTAGTAAGAATATGTAATTGATTAAAGTTCTCTGATAAGAACATATACTGAATTATCTATATCTATCTGGATCCATATTTGAAGAAGAAAAACCATGACAGTCATTTATTTTAGGACAGCCATGACTTCATCTGAGGTAGAAACTATGAAAAAAATAATCTTAGTGGGAAAATATCAACAACTTACTGTGAAAAGCATAGCCCTAAAGTGTGTAAACCTGGGCTAAAAGCATTGATGTATAAAATGACTGTAGTACAAGACTGCCTAGACCCAAATGATCACATAGAAACAATATTAGTTACAACACTGTTTGGCCAATAACCCTAGCATATTACTAGCTAGCTCTTGCATCTTTAATTAACCCATGTCTATCAACCTATGTATCGCCATGAGGCTGTGACCTACCTGTAAGATTTCTAAGGTTACAACGCATCCTCCTTCAGAAACTATGTGGCATCTCCCTGACTCCATCTACTCTCTATCTTTATCTTCATTCAGATTTTATGCCTGACTTCCCTCTGTTTAGCCATTGCCCCAAACTCTTTTATTCATCAACCAATAAAGCAACACATACACAGAATGACATCACACAACATATGACAGATTACTTAAGGAATTATTTCCTAAGTCTTTAAATTCTTCTAATTAGAGATTAAATAAAGGAGGAACAAAAACAGAAAATAAATTACTGAAACCTTTTTTATTTACTGGTCTATTTTCAGACTAGATTTCAAGGCAGCTACTCACCCAGAAAAGTGATTTGTGTGGATTAATGTTTCATAAAGTTTAGCTCTCTGTATTTTTACTTCATGTCTATCACCTGCCCTGTACTCTAATCTCAAGGGAGGAAGTATTAAAATTTATAGTCAAGCTGGTGAATAGAACAGACATTAGAAGCTAAAGGGTAAGTCATTCCTGGTGAAGGACAGGTCACTAATAAATGCCTCATCAATGGTTACATCAGTGAAATTAGTGGACATGAAAAATACTTTTAATGTAGTCAAAATACCAGCTTCTTCCAGACAAAGGGAGATAATTTTTATATTAACTTTACTGTTCACATTGCTCCCTGGATAGAGAGAGTGAACTGTATAAATTCTTATCATGCTTTGAGAATCCAGAAGAGGTGCAGGAGTTCCAGAGGTCCTGAAAACAATTCCCAGAAATCAGAATGGTAACTCACAACCATCTGTAATAGGATCTGATGCCTTCTTCTGACATGCAGGTATGCACATTGAGCACTAATACAGAACATATAAATAGATAAAATTTTATAAAAGAACTCAAAAGAAATAAAATGCTAAAAAGATTAAACTATATTTGGAACTTGTTGGTTCTATTCTATTTTAATATTAATCACTCACCAGCTGTTTCTAATAGAAAATAGATGGTAATGTTAATACCATACAAAATGAAGCACCATGATAAGCAAACATGTATTATCAAACTGTGAGAAGAGAAAGCAGCTTTACCCTTCATCCCTTGCTAATTGCATTTGTTGTACTGTGAAGGTACTGCAAACATAAGTCAGTCAGGTGATTTTCAACTGGGAACATCTCTACCCCAGCAACTTTATAACACTTTGAAAACGGGTAAGTTCTGTTCCTATCTGAAGTGTGGTCCCGCTTTTTAATTCATGTTCAACCCATCCATATTCATAAGCAGTTAATAGAGTCCAAATGGGAGACACACTGCTAAACTAGAAATATAAGTAATTCTACCCTAGGCAATAATTGCAACAAATTGTAGCCATGAGAAAGTCACTTAACCTCTCTGGACTACCATGTCCGTAAGGATTCCTTCAACACCCCTGCTCTTTAGTACAGGGCCTGAATTTATATTTGCGTAAATTTAAATTCCAAATTTTATTGCCCATCTAGAAATATTTTGGAAGTTAATGCTCCAAATAGAATTCCTTTTTATTTCTCTACAGCAATATATAAGTATTTAAAGCATGAAACTGGTTACTTTAATGATGGAAAGAATATAATCTTGTTTCTTTATTGAAGCTTACAATGTAGCAAGTGCTCAATTAACTAATCTCTCTCCTGTATTCCCTTCCTCTTAGGTCCTTTGTAACATACTGCACTCTGAGAATTTGATTGCCTGTAGAAAATCAACCATATATTGAACTCTATTCTAAAATAATTCAGATTCTTCCTGTAATATTAAAATTCTTACTATAATAAAACTATTTATTGATGCAAAACTCAGGAAGTCAGTTTAAGCTCCTCAGGCATTTCATCATCAACAGGAATAGACAGTTTGATTGTATAAGACTGTGAGCATAAATTTAGAAATTTTATTCTTTTAACCCATAACTAATTAATCGTCACTACGTCATGTGATCTAGAGTTTGTAAGAGACATTTGCTAATAATATGACAACTGGTCCCTGTTTTAGGCAATTGGAATCTTTTCAACTTAGAATAAAAAAGAATGAAAAAGGGAGGAACCATGCTATTAGGACCCTGTGCCTGACGGACATCTACCTTGGGGACTCCCTACTACTATATAGCATTAATGCCCCATGTCTATATTTTTAATAACTCCCTAGAAGATTCTGGCATGTTGCCAGTTTTAACAGTCTGTATTCTGCTTATTAAATAGAAATCATTCTATATTCAAACAATGCATGAAATACTGCTCACTTGCAATCTTCTTAAATATAATGATATGTATTACTATATTTCATAACTCAAGATGTTCCTCATACCTAATTATGCCTTACACAGTTGTACCGCTCTTCAGCTAATCCTGTGATTTAGGGCAAACAATTTACCATTCCCAGCTATAAACCTGGAGAATTTTTTTTCATTCTCTCCTTTAGTTTTTCAATGCAGTTTTTTTTTTCAGCACAAAACCAAGAGCAGACAGTTATTAGAATCTCTTGCAGCCAACAAGCCATCGTACATGCCTGAGCACTTGCTTTGCTGGGTTTCAGCAGTCTGTGTGATAGTTAGGATATGACAGTCAATTATAACATTGTAGACTGTCCACAATCATGAATTCACAATTAAATGCAAGTTATGTTATTCACTAGCTGTGCTTGAGCTCTTTGCCTCTGTTAACTCTCAGATTTTTATAGCTATCATAACCTATAGCCTATCTTGAAAACAAATGAATGAATAACTTAAAATAATAGACAATGATATATACATATATTTAAGTGTATGTGTGTGTGTTCTACCTTTAATATATCCCTCAGTTGTGAAAGAGGGTAAGAAGAATCTGGAACATATCAAAATTTCAGTTCTAACATCTGTTGATGTTAAGCTGGCAGTTCACAAGAATTGCTGAAAATTTTAAAAAGCCAAAGGGTAAATATCCAATAGAAGAGATATGCACAAACGCAGTGTAGAAGCATACAGTAACATCTACTGAAATTAAAGAGTACAGAAAGGGTCACTGGGTGGTGGCAGTGATGGATGGACACAGTTTGCCTCACTAAGCACATAGACTATCTCCTAAAATAAGCAGACCTTATTTTTTCTTCACTGTTTTGAGAAATCATTAAATTAATGTTAATTTGTCTCTTTAGAAGGTCATGCAGCTGAAGTTCAAGGATAGAATAGCAGAAGTAGTCTCAAGTATAGTTTTCTGGTGAGTAAATCACTCATAGAAATGTCTAACAACCTGCCTGAATGTTCCACATCAACCGTGGCTTAGGCACAGAACGAAGTAAGGGCAATATGCAAGAGAACCCAGCCTCCTTTTACCGTTCCCAAAGATTACCGAAAATGTAAAAGTCAAAATGTTAAGATAGAAACTCATTAAACAGAAATTAATTTGTTCAGTGGTGCAGAAATGAAATAATTTAGTCAGGCTGTGATTAAGTCCCTACAAATTGCATGATAAATAGGAGTTTGACATGAACAATCACAACTGTGCATATATATATATATATATATATATATATATATATATATGTAAAATTTTTAAATTGAATGAATGGCCCAAAAAGATACACTTAAGGAAAATTTTCATATGAAAATAGAGTGATATTGAAAATATTATGTTAATTATCTTTTAATTGTGTTTCCTTAAGAGATACTAGAAATATTATATCTTAAAAGAAAGCCTAAAAGATTGAATTGGTTTACTGAATTCTCTGGCAAATGAATATTTTTAATTAGTTGAATATGTAATGAACAATAAGAGGTGACTAGAGCTATTATTGTGGTAAACACAGTAAAAAAAAAAAGGGGATTACAGGTGATTTCTATATAATCTAAAATTGGAGAAGCATGTTAAGCTAACTTTTCCACACATGATTGAATTTCATTTTGATTAATGAGGGCATAGCGGCTAGATAAGCAGGCTTGGAAAAAAATAGTTTACAAAGACTCGATTAACATTCTGGACCCAGGACTACTTATTATGCAACAAATGGATGCAAGTAAAAATGCATCACCCTGTTTCAAACTGCCCTCACTATCTCCCTTCAGGCTAGAGTTGAGACAATTCTAGAGATGACATCCTTGTCAATGTGAGATCACCAAAGGAATGTACAAGTGGATTAGGATATTATGTATCTCCATGGACTATGACGAGATCTGAGTTCAGACTAATTGATGGTCTACATAAATCTGGTAACCACCTACTTTATAAGAAGGCACAATTTAACACAGATTCTAGTGCACTGTTTTTAAAAACGAATCAAGGAACATGCTTTTTTTTCCATTTCTTTCTCTATTTCTTAAAATCACATGTGATAGGAGTCCAGTTGTTTTATATTATTCCCTAGGAATCAAAGCAGGTGTTGTGGGGGTGAAAGGTAAAAGAGAACACTCCATTTCATAAATGCTCTGAGTATACTTTTGGAAATAAGTTATCTTATCAGTAGTAATGTGATTTATTCTGTATCTATACCAGCATGAGAGAAAATAGTGTTTTTTAACAACACAAAATAAGGAGTTTAACAAGTCTAAATTTAGACCCAGGTTTACATGATTCAGAGAGAAGAGAGTATCAAGAAGAAACAAGAAAATGTGAAGTAAACTCATGATCAAAGTCCATTTTATCTTTTAGCAACTATAGTGTAATTTGCTAGTATTTCTGAGCCACGGGTTCCTCGTTTGTTATCCAAAGGTGATAGACTGTCATTAGATTCACCTAAGAAACTCTTGATAAACATGGACATTGGTCAGAAATCCTGATCAGAAATATGGGCTACCATATACTCTAGACTTTTCCTCCATGCTTTCTTCCAGGTGACTATGTTCTATAACTGGTAGGAAAGGGGCAGACCATTCCATATAAAGCTTGGAATAAAGTACTGCTAAAGAAAAATGCTATAGTGAAGATCCAGAAAGGAAGAACAGAGTATGTGCCTACCACCTTGATTTGGGTCAAGGTTGCCATATAAACCATAGTCGATGCTTGCCTTGAGTAGTTAAAGTCATTTTCATAAAGGGACTCATACTCAAGAAACGAAGGGCAAAGCAATCACACTAAAACAAAATGTGCCAATTCTTTCAGTATGTAAATTCTAAGGACCAGTAAGCCCTAAACGACTTTAAAAGCAATTATATGTTTTATTATTGTACTGCAATTTGCACTACGATATTGTCATGTTCAAGCAAATTTAAAATGCTCTCTAATGCCAAATGTGTAGATCATAGGTTCATGTTATTTCTTATAAAAATTACATTGCATTGTGCCAGTTGTTTAATGCTATTAACTTTCCCTGGGTGTGTTATTATGATGCAGAACCAACAGGGTTGTTGTAAGCACACTAATTAGTCATCTAGGATTTTATAGATAAAAAATCATACATTGATCAGAAATCACTTTTTTACTTATTTTTTTGTAGAGTATTTTTCCACACTTGAAATAACATGATTATTTTATATCAGACATCAGTTTTTCTTTGAAATATTATTTTAGTAGCCAATGCATGTTTGAAATAAGATGTTAAATATTGTGATAATATTAAGGTTGTGTTTGTAAGTGGAACATATGCATGCTATAATGAACCATGCAAGCTTTGTCTTAATCTGTGTGCATGATCTGCATTCTTTCAAGAGTCCTTTTGCAATATTTACATAGTGAACTGTGAGTCTTAGAGCTGACAAGCCCCTGTGACAAGGCAGAATACTGTCCTGCTTTAGTTTTTCTTCCAACTTTGCATTATAGTGTTATAAATTTTCCCAAAAAGTCTTGTTCTTGGGGTTTTCAGCAATTAACTACAAAAAATAAAATTATTTGCTGGCAAATCTTCCAAGTGGCAGCATAGAAAGTTAAAGTTTCTAGCATGAACATGTGAAAAAGTAATTGTACAATGTTCCATTATATGAATACAATATTCTGGCAGCTCTTTGGATAATCAAGGAAAGCTTATCATTTTTTGAAACACTGCCAAATCAGTACTACTGCCAAAAAGGAGAAACACTAAGTTAGACCTGCATTATACTTGAGCAATAACGGACTATCCAGACTACAACCAACTGGTACAACAGAGATGGGAGAATGGTAGACCAAATCTTTTGTTTCTCGGTAATTTGCAAAATGTAGAAGGAGTTTGAATTTTGGCAGCAGAGACACGCCTTTACATGCTGAAAGATCACAGCTCTCTCTGAAAACAAAAGTCCTTTTGGAAAGGATGTGCTGAGGCATTTTGTTTGTTTGGTCTGATTTATTTTAGGGGGAAAAAAAACATGTGTTTTTGAAAGGCCTTATTTTAGGCAAGTAATATGAGTAGACCAACCTCTCCCTCTCCATAATGAGCAGTCATTTATCATAACATATAATGGGTGGAATATAGCTTTCAGTAATTCCAACTACCAGTATAAACTTTCACCATGTTGGAAGGTGATTTCCTGTTATGTTAACAAAGCAAAGAAATCCTAGTAATATGTGTATTTGCTTATTTATTTATTTACAGCAGATTGTTTCTTTCAAGTCTAATTTTAACAGCACCAATGAAGTTAATATAACGCTAAGAAAACTGACTCTAGTTACTATTCCAAGTCAAAATCCTGAGGTTGAGTCCCTCTGTAGTCCAAAAGTAAAGCATTGACTCAAGTGATGAACAGACCTCCTGTTCCACCACAGAGAGGATGACTTTGTCAGTCATGGCATCATAAGTGTGAGCAACCTGTCCTGTCACAGAAGGGATGACTATATCATTCATTCATGATATTGCAGGAGTATGAAAAGATGAATATGCCATTTACAATACTGTAGGTGTGTAACACTCAGCAAGCATCTGATCTGGTCTCGTAGTTTGATACCGCATGCATCCTTTCATTGAATTCACCTGTAAATAACAACACTTTGTGGCAGCTAAGTAAATATTTAATAAGCCATGAAAGGCATGATGTCATAGGAAATCTGTACTTTCAGCTGTTTGGAGAAATTGTACTTTCCATAAAATAAACCGGAGCTGCCATTTGAAATTTTCTTCCCTTAAAATATGTCATTACCATGTATGTTCCTGATCATTGATGCCTTTTCAGGCATATAACTCTTATGATGTGATTGCTACAATTTTGTGAAATTCTGTTTAGTAATTAATGGTTTTCATAATCTGCACAAAGATTCCAATGCGGAAAAATAAATGTGTAAAGAATTTGAGCCTGTATGTAAGAAGTCTCTTACATCACATTTACGATATTCAGTGTAAATACCTCACTGATTTGACACTGGAGTTATTAGATGTGTAAATAATGATGTTCTGTTTGGGCCTAATTAATTCCTGTAATGTGAATATTTAAAATAAAATAATTCAATTTAAATGTATAATAGTTTTGCTTATGTGCAATGATTGTATTCAATTTATCCGCTCAGAATTTATTTTCACTCCCATGCAAATCTAGACTTGCTGATAGTGAATTAAAATATACTTATCAGGTTACACATTTATTATAGATAGCAAACCAAATATCAACAACCAGTGCACACATGGGGTTTGTTTAAGCATTGTTTTAATGGATTCAGTACCATAGCCAAAATCATTAATAATTGAAATTTTGTGCATGGGGCTCAGAACAATCTCATTCTTTCCTGATCCTAACTTTGAAGACCTTGTTTTCTGTGACCTCCATTCTCTGATTCTGTACATCCCCATCTCAGCCTTCTAATTCAGGCCTGCAGAGTCAACAACAGCTACAATCTCAATATGTCTACTGTGGACATCTCCTTTCAAATACCTGCTTTTATCTTCTGAATGCCATTTGTCATCTAATGACATAAACACCACTATGGAAGAATTTCAACACATCTCCCTTCTCTCATCCTTTATGTAATGGTACTGGTTGGTACTGCAAACTCGACCCTTTTTCCTTACGTTGAATTGATCATAAGACATCTCTTACGTATGACGCTTTTCTTCTGATTTGTTGCCATTGAGTTAATTAAGTTGACATAATTTCAAAGAATTTTTACCTGCACTGACCAACTCCTCAAAGTTTTGAAATTCAGGATTTACACTATCACTAATAATGGAAATAAATAAATAAGAAAATATGACAGTGGAAAAATTCAACTAGAGTGTGGCTAGCCAGTAATCTCCTCTGCCCTACTTCCTGAAACTCACACACTAAAATTCTTCATGGATTTGTCCATTCTTAGGTAAACTCCTGATTTGGTAGCAAGTCATTTTGTTCTTTTATATTTGACTTCCTCACAAATTGTCTAGACTCTTATTTCCTTCTAATTCATCCTGCCACTGATGACTCCCATGTCACCCACTTCCAAGGCAGTCTTGTCATTGACACCTCACATATCACCCACTTCCCAGGCAATTTCCCTCGCTGGTGAAGTCCTAGCATCCTTAAGAATATATTCAAAAAATATATGCTATGATTCAAAATGCATTCCAGATATAAAATATTTCAACATATTCTAAAGCAAAAGGATACAGAAAAATTATTGTTTTGTAGAAGTGAGAATTTAGTTAGCAAATTATATAAGTCTTTCGATGGAGATCTGAGCAAAGTCTTAAGGACAGAATATATTCTTGTAATTTTAAGGGCCCATTCATGAAAACAGACATACAAACTAATAAATGTTTAGTAGGTTTCATGATTGGAACTGGCTTACCTTGCTTTGATTTACACTGCAACATCAAAAGTTCTTGAAAGTTTATGAGCAGATGTACAATACTTGGAAACCACAAAATACATATTGATAAGCTTGTAAATCATTTAAAAATAAATGTTGTATCCCTTCTTGTGTCTAAATGTAAGGCATATTAAGATACAGTATATTTATTTAGAAAAAGGAAGCACGATGTGGAAGCCCAAAATATCAGAGTCCTGGAAACAGACTGCTCATGTTCAGCTCTCAGATCTCCCTCTTCTAACTGTAAAATTCATGAACACCATTTCATTATTTCTTCATCTTAAAAAGTAGGCTCACAGCTCAACCTTAAAGTACTTGGTTAACATATAGGAGATTCCTAGTTGATCCAAAGCATCATAAAAATATCACAATTAGTAAACTAATACACCATGCAGATTTACAAGAGGACCAGAATAAATAGTAGTCCAAGTATTTCCACTCCATCTTTTCTTCAGTCTTTCCAAATACTCTTCATCTATTTTATCTAAAATACATTGTGTTATTAATTCAGTTACTATTACATTCTTTGGGTAGACAGTACAAGTGCGTTCATCACAAAGAATGTAGCTTGATATCAAGAAAAATGTTGAATATTTGAAAACCTACAATCCATGGCCAAATACCCCGAAACAAACAACAAACAGAAAGATTTACATCCATCTGAAACTCTGGGAATTGCCATATATAAAGTAAACTGGTACTATTATTTTATAAGCACATTGGCAACCTTTTGGGAACAGAGTCCCAGTTGGAGAAAAAGTGAGAACTGTTTACCAGGTAGGAAATGGTCTTTATTTCTTCTCTATCTTTTTTTAAAATTTTTTTCAAAGTTTAATAAATTATAAAAGTTTCCATTTTCGCCCCCTCCGAATACCCTCCCACTCCCCCCACTCCCTCCCCGCCTCCCTCTCCATCCCTAAGAGCAGTCAGGGTTTCCTGCCCTGTGGGTAGTTCAAGTTCCTCCCCCCTCCCTCCAGGTCCAGGAAGGTGAGTATACAAACAGACTGGATCCCAAAAAATCCAGTATATGCAGAGGAAACAAGTCCCAGTGTTCTTGTCAATGGCTTTTCAGAAAGACTCCGATTCCTATTGAATTTTTCCTCTTGAGTCCGCATCCTATTCTCACATCTAGCTTCCTTTTTTACTTTCCTCTTTGTTTTATTTTTATTTTAACCATTATGTATAATTATGTTTGTTTATATAAATAAGTAGCAATAGGGAGTTATTTGCTTGAGCCTGGACTGTTCACCAATGAAGAAAATGGTAATGCTCTCCAGTAATGATTAGCTACCCCTAGTCATATGGCAGGACTGAAGACTCAGGAGGGTTGATGGGCCCCATCTGTGTAAGTCATTTTTAGGTAACCACAACTGGTGAGGGTTCATTAACAAAACAGTCATGTCATGTCCAAAAGAGAACACCTCATAGCCCTTTTCCCCATCCTCCAGCTCTTAGATTCTTTCCACCCCTTCTTCCATATTCACTGGGCATTTGAGGGCATAGAATAAACTCAATGTTTAGGGCTGAACACTTGGCAGCCACTTATTCTCTGCACTTTTTCTGCATTCCTAGTTACTTACTGCAAATCGATGCTTCTCTGAACAACGCTGAAAGAAGCACTAATTTATGGGCTTAAATATAAATATTTAGAAGGCATTTTGACAACAAATCAATGTAACTATTAAAAGGAATCTCCAGCAGGCTGTAATATGACATCCAATCTGCTTTACACTTTCTAGTCTAGACACTCAACTAAGATTAAGTCAAAATCTTTAAATAAAAAGGGTGTGAGTGGCGTGTGTATTAAAGTGGTATATGCACATTCTTTGGCATGGATGTGTGAGCGGTGTATGTTCCTGTTTCGGTTATATGTAAGTGATGTAGGTTTATGATTGTCGTGTATATGTGAGTGCTGTATACGAAGGTAATCTTGTTTACATCAATGTGGGCTTCTGACAGACACGAACACCTTATAAGAAGAGAAGGGAAGTGAAGAGAAAGGAAAGAGGAGATCGAAGCGGAAACACACCACCCTATCGTGTGGTGTGTTTCCACTTAGCATAACACATCCAGAAGTCTCACTGGAAGTCTTCCAGATTCCAGTGCCAGGCTCTGGGACTTCTATATATTATGAACCATGAGACAAAGATACTACATTCTTTAATAAACCTGTAACCCCAATTATGCAGTTATAGCAACAGAAATTGGACAAAAACATTGGTTTATATTTCACAACATGCATTATAAAAGTAATAAATATATCAACATAAGTACATAAATCAAATTTCACGCATGAAACCAAATTCCTCCAATATTAAGATGCCAGCAATGTATATGGAAAACAGCTTGTTTTCAGGAAAATATGTGAAAACAAAATATTTAGTAGTCAGTTTTAATCAGCAGTATATTATTCTAAGATTTCACTGAAAAGTAAATTGTTGCTTTAAATGGGTTTAATTTACTTTGATTTTCTGTTAAGGAATATTATTAATGAATTCAAAATGAACCCAAGGAAGCAGTTTCTTTCTCAACTCCGAGTGGTGTTCAGTGTCCCCCTGCCAGAAATGCTCACTTAGTTCCTAAGGGTGTAGAGACCTTCAAGTGGTGATCAGTATCCACGCCACCACAAACACCGACTTTCCTAAGAGTATAGAGAACTCTGCTACAAATTTAAGAGATGGTAGATTAAGATGCAAATCTGTCCCACATCTTCCAATATTTTATTCTCAAACAGATTTTTAGAAAGGGAAAAAATGCACTGAAAACAATAAGAAACAGTCATGGGAAGGGCATTCTTTGACTGATATTTCAGGAAAAGAAAGGGGTGAATTCTAAAAAGTTTAGAGATGGAAGAACACAAAGAAGAAGAAATTTAATTTAGTTCCATGTTTTTGTTTTTTTTTTTATGGTATTTCAAATCATTTGCATTCTTTACAAAGGCAATGTAAAATAAATACAGGAAGTAATACTGTTAGTGTTTAACATCTTGTACTTTCCAATGTCACATCCGGAACGACATATATTCAAATTTCAAGGCATTATTTAGGGCCCTAGGGATTCCATTTTGGGAAATAGATGCAATTTCAATTAATTTAGGGTGTCAATATTCCATCTCCTGCCCCCCAAGAAAGGTTATCTGATCTGGCACCTAATTTCTTATCGTGGAGTAATCACGTCATCCCTGAATTTGGATCCCCCCATTTTACAACTGTACAAGACCTCGTGGACAAACCGAAGGCATCAAAATTCAAAGTCGGCCTTTCCACTTAACTCGTGTGAAGAACAAATCTAAATCAAGTCTTGGTAGCTCACACGGGAACTTTAACTGCGGCGGTGCCCCGCCCTTCCCCAGGCTCGCAGCCCGTCCACGAGGCGTCCGTGGGGTCCCCCTCGGGGTTGATCTCTCCCGGCTGCTCCCTCGGTGCTCAAAGTTGTTGTGTCTGAGAAAGGAAGAATTGGCAAGAGACACAGTCTTGTAAGTAAGTGGCATCCCTAAGACAGGGCATCTCTATTAGACAGCATAATGTAACATTTATGAACATGACCTGTAAACCAGGAATAGGCTCTCCTCTTCTGCAACCATGGCCTTCATCCATAGGGTACTTTGTTCCTACAGGTCATTTTGCAAATCTTTGAGACATTTCAAATATCTTTTAATGTAGCATTTAATATTATAATCAGC